ACTTAGTAGCCACGTATGATTGCGCTAGCAGCAGTTCATTTTTAATGTTAGTTAACAGAAGTTAAATGGTACTGGTTGAAAGACCTCTAAATATTATAAATATCATTCCAGGATGTCTGTGCATAAATCTACTGGAGATAGATGTTCATAAGAGCTACTGTTTTACATTCAGGTACAAAATCTGGTCCTATGTAAGACAGTCTCAGTGACTAAACATGACTAAAAAAACCAGTCCTTCCGTACAACCACATTACTCAGAAAAAGATTGTGCTCAGCCCTGAGTCAAAGAACAAGGCTAAATCCTTGCACAAGTTTATTTTGTCCTTACTCAGACACGTCTCATATCCAAGCAAGGCAAGTCTGTCACTTGTGCAATAGGTCACATTTGTGCCCAAAGACAGTGTCAGTTGGGCATACAGTTTAGTGCTATGGTTCCTTAAAAAAACAGAATCGGACTGAGAGCCTAATACAAACTACATCTTATTCTCTGTGCAAAGAAAAGATACCCAAAAATGACCTTTTTTACTCACTCATGGAGTGAGCGGTGTTCCTACTCGCACTCAGTGTAATTCATTACACTCAGCATGTGCGTGTTTCATCTCCGAGTTCCTCGGTGATTAAAGCACAATTGAAGTGCTGTGTGTGATTTGATTCTGTATTACACTGTACGTCAGAAAAGGATTAAAAATAAGCTCTTGGAGTACAGATTATGTGAAGCATCATGCAAGATGTGACAGGAGTATTAACAAATCCAACTCTAATAATGAATAAATTGGGACAGTTTAGCCAGAAATCTGTATTTTGTTTTCCAATTGATGCCTTGTATAGGGTATTTGTCAACTAGACTTAAATGCATAAGTAATTTTTTCAAATGTGTAAAGTCATGTTGTTTTAGTATACAGGAGTAAGCACTGGAAGCAGTAGTTCGTTGTTGAACGTATATATAGTGGTACTTGAAGAAACTGGCTTATTAGGAAGTACCAGGAATTTATTCTCTTTAGTACAAATACTGAAGACGTAGGCTTGTTTATGCCATCACACCGGCATATGTACTTCCCTTGCAAATAGATTGCCTTTCTGCAGTGGCTGGAGAGCAAAATGTACACTATTAAAATTAAAGGATCCTTGGTCAGTGTTTGAAATCCATTCAGCAACACAGCTGAGTAGCTTTATTTCATTGCAGCATAATTTTTGATTTTTATATAACGGATGGTTTGCAGCCAACACAGCCATCTGTTCACAGGGAAATTGCGTACAACAGAAGATGCACTTGCCCTAGTGATAGATCCTGGCCTTGTGTTATCCGTGGCATGGATCCGATCCAGGGCTGCGCTAGCCAGGTGAGAAGCATAGTTCCTCGCTTACCATGCGGGACCACCCCTCTGCAAAGGCAGACTAAGACACAACATATGTCCCGTAGCTCCCACCCACATCGGGTTTCTCATTTGGGCCTGTGAACCACACTGGAAAGCAGTTCAAATCCCATCTAATATTGCTCCACGATGCAGTATCAGTGAGGTTAAAAACACCCCCAACAATCATAGCAGCATGCACACCACAACAGTCACATACAGTGGTCCTTGCTCCTCACACCTTCCCTGCCGCAGCAGTCCAGCATGGCTTTTTCTTCTCAAAAGGAGTCAAGAGACTCTCAAGAAAGTAGGAGGAGGCTGAGATTGAAGACACTTTTGTCTCTGACCTTCACCCATCCCTGAAGAAAAAACCCTAGAATAATGTCCTAGCAGCTTTTCCATTTACTAATAATCCCTTAGCATGCTTCAGCTTTACAGCGTAGGACAGAGCCCAGGCAGGAGGATGGGAAGCCCTGAGCATCCCAGCAAGAAGTGCCTCAGGGCCTGGCTCCACCTGCTCTGTGTCCCCAGACTGTGGTAGCAGAGTCAACACAGCCCTTCTCATTCTCTGAAGAGAAAATTTATCCATGTACAAACTAAACTGCAGATCCTGACTCAGGCCTTTGGGAACCATTGTCATGAAAGCCTCTGCAGACTTCTAGCTGCACCACAGAAGGTGCAGTCCTTTCAGTGCTGGCTTCTGCCGTGTACGTTCCCTCAGAATAACATTTGGAAAAACCTCATCAGATTTATATATTAATTGTTTATATGGTCATCAATAACCAGGCTGGATTTCTTTTTGCTTCGACTGGTGTTTTAAGGGGGGATGTTTTAGCAGCTCAGTTGTATCAAAAGAGATTTTGCAATTTGCTTCACACACCTAGCCTTTGTTTCTGAAGAGGCGGCCAGCCCCTGGCTCCAGCCCTGAATTCTGGCCTTTTCTGTGCACAGGTCTTTTCAGTGCGAAGTCTCTTTAGCGTGCATGAGGGACAGACAGAGGTGCCATCCCTTCCCAAAAACTGGAACACACAGGTCACCCCTCAACACCAAAACAAACCCTTTAGCTTCTCAGATGCACTCGTTACCTCAGCTCACCTTCAAACCTTCAGCCTTTTGGATTTATAAATCGGACTTCTCAGAAGCAGACAACAGCCGTGAGCTTGCCAGTCGTTCTGTAGTTTCCAAAAGCACCGTTGGTCTCTAATTGAAGAGTAGAGATCCTCTGAGGGGGCCAGTACCCAGGAGGCATGATCTGTGAGCTCACAGGCCAGCAGGGACCCAGGGCCCAAGATGTCTGCTCTTCCTTTAGCCTTTTTATAACCTCCCAGATTTCCCTCCAGCTGACCCATCCAGCCCCACCCAGGTGATTTCAATCCGCCAGGTGACATCTGCCCCATAGAACTGGACATTTCAGTGACCAGTCGTTTCACATAACGAAGCAATGTAGCCTAACCCTGTCCCCTGCGGCACGTCAGCAGGCCGTGGGCATTTTTTGTCCTGGATGGAGAGGGTGGCAGGATGGCGAATACCCCTCTTCTAACTGCAGTTCGCAGCCAGATGAATACACTGAATTAAAGAATTTCAACTGCCAACACTGTGCTGACAGCCTGAAAGCTGGACACAGTAGGAGCTCTAGACGCTAAAGTTAACTGCTGTGGCAGTTTTTTGTTGATACCCTCAGACCTTTGCAAGGTGCCTAAACATCACCTGCAGTGAAGAGGCACCTCTGGATGGGAACTGGGCGGTGGGGGACATGATGGCAGGGTGTACCCGAAAGCCTGTCCCCCTGCAAGGCCTTTGCAGCCTCACTCAGTGCCTCCCTCTTGGCCAGAGCGAGGGATTGAAACCCTCCAGCGGAGGAGGTCAGCCTGCTCCAGCAAAGGGGAGAGTCGAGCCCTCGCTAACCTCCTCGCCACGACAGAAAAACTGGTGTGGACATCACTCCTGCCTTCTGTTAGAAGAGAAGTGGTCATGGGCAGTTTGTCTTGGGACCCTGCCACTGGGTGTTAACACTGTAAGAAAACACGTATTACACTCGAATGTGTATGTAACTCAAACTTAATCCCCAGGAATTTCCAACTGCCAGGTACGGATTTACTTAGGGGCCTGGGGAGACTGTCCCCCCTTCTCCCAGCCCCGTGGGAGATGCATGTTCCCCATCAGGGTCCGGCCCCTGCCCCCCAGACTGCTTACTCTCCCTTGCCCCCAGCTACAACTGCTCCTATATATTTAAAGAAATTAAATTAACTATAAGGAAATGGGGCTGGGAGGTGAGGGAGTTCAGTCTGGGGTTTTTTTCTTTTTTAATGGGGTGTAGAATTGCTGTGTGAAATCCTAAACTGGCATGCAGACAAGTGTTTTGTAAACTCAGAGTACATGCAGCCTTCAGTTGTGCTAAATGCAGGGGACAAAAATCAAGAACCATATAAGCCGCTGTCCAAACCATCTGTTCGAGTCTTCTGCCTTTCATTTCTGTGTAGCAGAACATAAATTCATTATTAAAATAGCTTGACTGTGCACAGCAGCTGCTATAATTGCAAAGTTATGCAAGTTTAAATGGGAAATTATGAAGTAGTTTAAAGCAAGAAATTGAGCGGTTTTGGTAGAAAGGATTTCACAAACCTAACATGAATAGAAGTGCTTTTCTAGCTATATTTTCAACATTTCAACATTACTTACAGTTCATGAAATATAGAAAAGTTTAACAAATTGAATGCAGGAAGAACTGGGAAGAAAGTGTTAGACTGGGACAGACCAGGGCTGGGCATGAGTTGTGACATGGCTGTACCACACACTGCTGGTGGGAGACAGCAAGCTCTCCATTCCTCAGTTTCCCCACTGAAATACAGAAGACCATGACCTTTCCTTTGCATAGCCCTCGCATTTGTTTCAGGGTCCATCTCTCCTGTGCAGTGCAGTGCAGTGGTGCTAGAGCTATTGCAGATCCAGAAGTGGGAGCACTGCACTA